TACCAACACATTTTCTTTTCATTTTTAATGTGTAACTTAAAAATAAACAGATTACTGTTTTGAGGACAAGAAATGAAAACCAATGTGGTTTGATGATGACTGTCAGAGACTATTTTTGTGACTTTCCAAAAGATTGAACACACAGACTGTTTTAAAAAGGGGTTCGATATAATTTTCTTTTAAAACAGTGTGTGTGTGTGCGCGTGTGTGACAGTTGTAGGTTACAGTTTGACAAGAAATACAGTGTGACAAAAGCACAATGTTGTGTTTTATTGCGAGTATAGGCCTACACAATTATAAGTAAACACTTTGCAGACTGAATGATGTCCTGTATTAACAAAATGACAGCGTATGTTTTTATGTCTCCACTGTTTGATCACACTCGCGTCGCGTGTCTGTCTCACTATCTCTCTCTTAAACACACAGAAAGTTAGATCGCGCACGTGCTTACTCTCTCTCGCGCGCACACACACATACTCCAGCCGACTCCAGCATTACAATCTTGACATCGCAGCCTGTTCATTATGCTGTGTTCACATCAAACGCAAATAGAGCGAATTATCCAATAATGTTTCGCAATTCTAGCCTGCACGGCATGCAGATGAAGGGCACTCATTTTCTGTTTATCAATCGCCGGTTACTGAAGAGGAATCCAACAGCATGAGACAACGAAATGGCGCAATCAAACTGACACCGTTACATGGTTGCCTGTTAGCGTGTCACTCCCTACGTCGCTAGGTTACCAGAGAGTGAGTGCCTTTGTTAATGCAACCAAACTTGCAAGATTAAGATTTTTTATTAAAAAGAATCTATCTTTGATGACCCTCCCTGATCCTCTGAAGGACCAGAGAAATCAGAGGAAAGGGGGGAAAAGCATACAATAAGCTTCTCGGCCAGTCTTGTGACAGAGCATCCAGGCCCAAACTGCCCTCCTGTACCGTGAGGGAGTACCATCCCAGGCAATGGGTCGTCTCCTTGGAAGCAAAGAGATCTACCTGAGCTGTCCCGTATCGGGTCCAAATTTGGGCTACTACCTCCGTGTGCAACCGCCACTCCCCTGGGAGAGCCACTGTTCTGGACAAAATGTCGGCTGCTCTATTTGTCACACCCGGGATGTGGATTGCTCTCAGTGAGGACAGCCGTGGCCATGTCCATGTCAGCAGGTTCGTTGCCACCTGGAGACAGTGTAACGATTTTGTCCCTCCTTGGTGATTTATGTGGTAAACTGCTGAGGTACAGTCTGTTCTCCCTAGCACATGCTTGTGGCGAAAAAATGGTAACAGACCCTTGAGAGCGAGATGAACAGCTCTCAGTTCGAGCACATTTATGTGTTCTGATGACCAAGGGGGATCCCATTTGCCCCTTACTGATCTGCCTTCCCAAACGGCTCCCCAGCCTGTCAGTGATGCATCTGTTGTTATCACTGATCTTCGGTGAGGAAGATTGCCCAGTGAAGTTCCCCTGCTGAGAAAGTCCTTGTCCCTCCAAGGAAGTAGGGGCCTGCATGCAGGCCTTTGTCACCAACAGCCTTGTTCTTCTGTCCTTTTTTGGATGAAGACGAAAAGAATTGAACCATCGGCCGTGTCCTCAGTAGGCTTAAAGGAATCACCACTGATGCTGCTGAACCCTGTGGGCTGTCACAAGCTTTCCCTTCTGGAAGTGATGTCACAAGCTTCCCCTTCTGGAAGTGACCCAACGCCTTCTCCAGGCTGTCTATTCTCTGGGGAGCTTCTATTGTTTTGGAGTTGAAATATAGCCCCAGGAATTTCACCTGCTGTTAAAGCTGGAAGCTTCTCTTCTTCCAGTTCACTGTGAACCACAGGGACTGAATGTGAGCTAGTACCTACTCTATGTTCCTGATCACCTGCTCTCGAGAGGGAGCACAAATTAACCAATCGTCCAGATATGGCAGGATTTTGATACCAAGCAGCTGAAGGGAAGCTAAGGCGGCTGAGATCACCCGAGTAAAAACTCTCGGTGCCAAAGACAGGCCGAACGGCAGAACCTGGAACTGAAAGGCCTGGCCTTGAAATGCAAAGCGGAGAAAAGGCCTGTGCTCTGGACAAATTGGAACATGGAAATATGCGTCTTTTAAATTCAGGGACGTGAACCATTATCCTGCACGTATGGCTTGCATTACCATCTTTGTATGAATCATTTTGAATGGAAGAATTTTTAAGTACTGATTGAGGTGCCTGAAATCCAGAATGGGACGATGACCACCCTCTTTTTTTGGAATTATGAAATAGGTTGAATAAAACCCAGTTTGCTGTGTGTTGAAGGGCACCTTTGTGATTGCTCCTTTTTGCAAAAAGAGCTTGCACCTCTTCCTTCAATACGGGCTCCAATAGTGGGTCCTTGACAATAGTCATTCTGACCCTTGAAAACGGTGGGGGGCGCTGTCGAAACTGTAGCCGATACCCTTGAGTTATTGTTGATAAAACCCACTGGTCTGATATCACTTTCTCCCAACTGGCCCGAGAAAGTTGAGAGGCACAGTCGACGGCCAGCCCCTGACCCCTATGCAGGTCCACCATCACGTCCTGTGCCCTTTCGTGAACCTCTCTTTTGGGCTCCCCCACGGGACTGAAATCTCCTTTTTTGTCTGAAATTTTGTCTTTGAGGACGAAAGCTCTGCCCTTGAACACTAGCAAGATTGCCACTCTCGTGTCTAGACCAGGCAGGTTGTTGCGGTCTTTGTGTTTCTCGAGCCTTTGGTCTGAAGCTGGAGCTGGTTTATGACAAGCACGCTAAACAGCTTCTCTGGATGCAATGGAGCACTCCACCTTATCCAGCACCTCCTGAGAATTCGAATTAAAAACCATGACCGGAAATTACTGGCAAGTTCATTAGTTCGCTTCGTATGGTCTCTGGCAAACAGGTTTGTGCCAGCCATATCTGTTTACGACATAAAACAGCTGAGGACATAGAGTCCCCCACATCACGGGTCAATTGTGAGTGGGCAGCCAGAGCAGAATCAACAAGGTTATTAGAATCCTGGTCCTCCGCACTTACTGTTTTCCGTAAGGCTGCTAAGAGGATAGCCAAAGCATTGCCTGTACGAGCTGCACGTGCAGTGGCATTAAAGGATCTTGAGATCAGACGGTCAGTTTTCGCACACTCCTTCTTGGGACATCGAGGGTTAGCAGATGCATAAGCTGGTCCCAGAGTTGTCCATGATGCTATTTCTTGCTCTACTGGTGGCATGTCCCCCAGTTCAGTTTCTTTTGTGTAACGGGCATTGGCCAACTGTCTGCAGCCTGCATTGAATTGAGGCTTCTGAGATGGCTTCTTCCATGTTGTCCTCAACATTGAGGTATAGTCATCTGCCACTGGAATGCAAGATGGAGAATTAGTCTGAGGTATGCCTTCCCAGGCACCCCCTACAGGAGCTGGGTCAGGCACAGAAGGCTGTAAACAAAGAATTTTTGCTGCACTAAACACCCTAGCAACTAGAGTATTTGCTGGAAAATCATCCCTCCCTGTCGATTCGCCATCCACTTCGGCAGAATCTGAGTGGGGTTCCTCTCCTTGGCTCCCTTCTTCTGCTTGCTGCTCAATATCAACCAGCGAGTGGGGAGCACGGAGAGATAATATATCAGCATCTTCTGTGTCAGTATCAGGATTACCCTGCTGTGCAGCTGGAGGAACGCCTTCCTGACTAGGAGGTAGTGATGGTGAAAATGAGTGACGGGCTTCAACTCTGTCCATCCTCTGTGCTAAACTTTGAATAGCAGCCAGGATCTGTAGTTGAGTGTCTGTGTTCCCACCCTCCGCTGGTGGAGCAGGAGTTGGGGGTTTAGCCACTTCCACCACCTTCTCATGGCTGTGGTGTGGCTCATGGCCATCGCGTGAGTGCTTGCTTTACTATCCCTGTCCGATGAGCGTTCCCTTTCCCTACCACGCTCAGGTACAGAACTGCGTACTCTATTAGCACGGTGAAGTTATTCCCCTCTGGGCAGGTCACAAGCCGCACTGCAGGGATTATCCTCTCTTAAATGAGCCATCCCCAGACATGAAGGGCATTCCCTATGCCCATCACGAGGGTCCATTGATGATTGGCAATATCGACAGCAATGAGAGGCCATGCCACACACAATCCCACTGACTGCACACAGTTGTGAAGGATATATCAAGCACACTCAAAGCTAAAAAGTCTTGCAATAGTACGCGAACGTATTTAGCAGGCCTTTATCAAACCCCAACAGCTGCGAACAATGATATAGGGCTCCAAGCCAACAATACTCATCAAACTCATTGTAATGAAGTGTATCCACTAGTTTATTGATGGATACTCTGAAAAAACAACAGAAATAACCCATAATATTGAATTCTAGTATGTTTTAGAAACTTGTTTCATAATATATGAATATTCTAATGTATAACATACATTATAATTCTCAATTCATAAGCACAAATGTATAGCATGAATTGAGTGCTTGCATTGAAATACTGACTGGCTAGTATGTAGAACTAGCAAAGAATATAGAAATTCACCACAATTCACAGGGGCACAAGGCACCTGCACCACTTGGGTGATGAGTTGAATGGTGAATACAAATATTAATTCGGTTCCTACCTGTATCGGGTCTCTAGGCGAGAAAGGTAAAGATAACGAGCCGGAAGTTTAACTCGCCTTTTATAGTGCGTGACGTTCCGCTTCCGGGGTCATGGGCATGACTTTGTTTACATAAGGTCTCAAGAGAAGGCGGAACGAAGGTTATCATCATCCTATTAGACCGTAGTGACGGTCAGAGTGAGGTCAAAACAGATTTAAATGCAGTATAGATGTGCATTTGTTCATTTATAACTACGGCTGGATGGATGGATGGATGGACATGATTTATTTTCCATAGTGCATTTATGCCTCCTTGTGTCTGCCTGTGTAACTGTGTTACTGGAGTGAGTTTCATAAATCCCCTTACACAGTCAAGTTCAATCACACACACCACTGTGGACAAATAATACAACCCTATAATGTAATGTAAACACACAAAATACCTTTCATTAGATGATGGTGTTTTCTCACTGAAGTCTGGTGGTCTACCTTTAGAGTGATCACTCTTCAGAGACACAGAGCTGGACACATGTGAGCCTGATCTTACACTGATGACACAAAGAACAGAGAGAGAGAGAGAAAATACTTTAGTAAGGGAGGATCAACTGTGTCTGAAACACACCTGTGTCTTTATCTAATCCTCCACAGAAACACACACTCACACAATTTACAGTTTTATAGTTAACCAACATTTTATTTACTGGCTCACATTAGTTTAACAATTTCTTAAATATACACGAGTGAGATTAAATATGTTAAAAAAATGACTTTAATTAAAGAGAACATGTCAAGTGTTTGTTTATTGACAGAAATAGAGAACAGAAATGTCTGTTCGACAGTTTTGTTAGCATACTTGAATTAAATAGTAATTTTATAATGTCTATCAATAATTTTATAATCTAAATACTAAAGTCATTTATTTGGATTAATTCAGCATAACAAATTATTCTGTGAAAATGTCTATACACCAAACGGGGCTTTATAGACAATGTCAGTGTTCATTTAAGAAGTTAAATTGAAGTTGTGCAAGTATTTGCAAATATAGAGCAATGTTTAAAGTTGTGTTATTGACAGGGAAACACAAAGTCCAGTGGAGTGTAAACTGAGAGTGTGAAAACAGACGCAGTCTCACCTGTGTTTCTCTGAGAGACTCATCTGAGAGAGAGAGTCCTTTCCTCTTTCCTCTGACATACTGCAGCTAAACTGACCCTGAAAACTGATCAGCAAACACTCAATCCTTCAGCATCACCTGCAAATCACAACATTTACACACATCAACAACATCTTACTGAAGAATAAAGAGTTATCATCAACAACAGCAAAAACTATGTATCAAATAAAGCGAGTTACAAACAAATATTTTGCTGTGTAAAATAACCGAACAGTCTTAATCATTTCTGATTGTTTTTTATGAGTTTAATGAGTTTAACTGACACTAAATAAGAATTCATTGGGGAACAGAAATGTACACTGTGCTGGGAAAACTGAACCCAATTTGTTATATTCTCTATTACAGTATAATATCATATTACAAACATATTTACCCAATCTTTATTAATTGTTGAATCGTTTGCCATTCAGTCATCACTTCAAGTTCACAATGACTGATTACTGTAAGTAAAAGTATCCAGAATTTTAATAGACGTACTGTAATATTACTAATCATAATTGGTATATGAACCGAAATATTTAATAAAAGCAGATTGTTGTCGGTTGGCGTTAGGCTTCATCTGTCTGTCGACTGTAAATGTCTGCTTCAAAAATACTTTCGATTTCACATCACACAAACAAAAGCCTAACACGGAAGTGGAAATGGGAGAAAACTTTCAAAAACATATTCGTGTTGAATAAATCTTTCTCAATAAAACATCTTGTGTTTTTACTTCAAAAGATTGTAATTTCTGTCAGATTCTTCTTCTGTTCGGAGTAGCAGAAGAACAGCCTTCTGTAACTTCACATTTAAATCTCGCTTAATAAACAAGTTCCTAATAATGACAAATGACTGTAATGGAGAATGTAATAAACTTACTTGCGGTCTTGTCCACTAAGAAGAGAGTTCATCAGTATTTTAAACTCAGTAACGCTTGTTGTCAGTCCGCGCGCGTCGTTCTCTGAATCTCTTGCTGGTCTCGATGGATTGAGGATTAAACACATAAATGTCCGCGAGTGTTATTAGATTTGGTAGGCATTGTGCTAAATTGACATCAGTAGAAATGTTTTCTGAATCATAAATTAAATCAAATCCAGTGAACGAAATGTTTAGGTGCGGACACGTGTTCCTTTCGTTTTGCTTTCGTTTTGCTGTGCTGGGTTCTGGACTGGCTGCAGTAACGCATCTCTGTCCATGCGGGGGCGCTCGCGGTCGAGTGCAGAATGAATGGGAGTCAATGGGGTTTCACCCCCAGAAATCCATTTTTCTCAGGATGTAATTTTTTGTCAAGTAATTTGAAAGTTGCATTTAAAAGGGAGGGCTAAGAAAATACACTAAGCAGAAAATTGCATTTTTAAGTTCACTTATCTGTTCTAAAAATCCGTTCAAAAATGTGATGACGTCACACAATAGCAGAATGCTAGCGTGTTCCGGCCAACAACGGCCTGACCTGTAAGAAATCAAAAGGACATAAGTACTCGTTCATTCGACTTTTGGCCTGTAATCTATATTGAACTTGCGGAATCAATAATAAAATCTATGTTGATTTAATGACAAGCAGGTGAAAGAGACACATTTAGCCGTTTAGCCCCATAGACTCCCATTCATTCTGCTCTCGCCTCCAGTGGAATTCCAGCTGGATTACTATCCTCTGGCTAAATACTCAATGTGTGGCTTGTCAGTAATTGTCCTGCATCATTCCTTCCCAATTCTAGATTCATGTCTGGAATGAAAGGAGTCCTGAAAGATGTTGTATTGTCGGTGTTGCTGCCAAACCTATCTCCAGATGTAACCAACCAGCTGGTTGAGAAGCTCATGGACCAAGGTGTCGAGGGCCTGGATGATTTGGTTTATGTAAAAGAAGATGACATTTTGGAGTTTATACGACCGATCCAATGCAGAAAACTTCTTAGTTCCTGGAAAAATCAAGGCAAAGGTGATGTAGCAAACACAGAACGTTCCCCTAACGTTCCCGAATGGTCCCATGAGGTTATTTTTTTGGGAACCAAACAAGAACGTTATAGGAACGTTCCATAGGTTATTTTTAGGTTCCATTTTTATAACGTAGGGAGAATGTTCCGGGAACGTTCCCTTAACCTTAAGGGAAAGTTCTAGGAACGTTCTGGGAACCAAAAACTAACGTTCCCAGAACGTTCCCAGAACCTAAAATTGTTTGCTGGGATAATAATTATATATATGTTAATTTAAAGGGTTAATTCACCCAAAAATCAAAACATTGTCATTAATTATTTACCCTCATGTCGTTCCACACAAGCAAGACAATCTTTCATTTTCAAAATTCAAATTAAGATATTTTTGATGAGATTGAAAAACTTCTGTCACTCCATAGACATTAAAGTAATGGATGTTACACCACTGGTGTAACCTCTATTTTATGAAGCAACATGAGTGTGTTGTGGTGACATGAGAGGAGACATTGTTGTGTGAATTCACATTGGAGATTATTATTTTGTAAATAAAGTGGTAAATTATATAGCTTTTGGGGGTAAACAAAGCATTTGCATCGCCTCTTAAAATTAAACCACTAGAGTCATATGGGTAACTATACTAAAAGTTTAAGTTACATCTACTGTCAATAGAGGGACAGAAGTCTCTAGGATCTACCAAAGTGAACAAAAGTCTTTCTGTTTAGAAAGATGAGGGTGAGGGTGATTAATTAATGGGTGAACTATCCCTTTAACTGTGTTACAATGCATTTTAGTATTGTTTATGATGTCATTTAAGAGACATAACTGATATATATATACTCACAGAACATCAAAACTGCACAGTGGTACTGCAACCTGCTGAGGTTCTCCCCTTGGTTCGCCCTGGAACAAACCCTACTCTTGGTTCACCTCCATCAAGCTCCTCAAGGCCAACATCAAGCAGTCTAGCATCAACCAGTGCTTCACATTCATGGCCTGAAAATTTCAAAGCTCCCTGGAACTTAATGCCAGCTGGTATAAGAGTGCTGTTGAGAATGGACAGAGACCTTCTCCTTCTGACAGAAGACAAATGATTAGAATCCTTGCTGACGAAATGAGAAAACATGACACAAACCCCACCAGATCACAGTGTCTTACTGTTACTCGCAAAGTAGTGAGCCACTATCCAAAGTCTTTTGCTGACATGTTGGGTGACAAGCAGGTTGGGGGTGGATATGAATCTGTTTTTTCACAGCTAAAAGTACGCACAGAGCATCTGAATTGAACAAGTACACTAATTCATCACAGCATCCAGAAGTGAAGCTGGAATTACTAGAAAACGAAGTTCCACTGACTCGTATGGCAGCCTTCTCTTCCACCTAGTGAAAGTTATGACCTGTGTTGGGAGTAACAGTGTTTAAGTACAGTATAACGGCGTTATTTTTTCAGTAATGGAGAAATTCAAAGGTAGCATTCTCAAACTGGAAGTACCGGCACTACGTCTCGCTCGTTGAAATTAAAGGCAAGAATGTGTATGTGACATACACACTATGCCCAGGGAAAAAAAGACTTTATCCACATCTGCCTCAAGCAACTTGAATCTTATAAAGTACCTCACACATGCTAACACGAAACTTGTTGCTACTGCTAACCCAACCAAAGCCCAAATGCGGCTAACATGAGCTCCAACGAAGGTCAAACAACGCTTGGCCAAGGCGGGTCAGCAACTGGTGACCAAGGCCGAGCTGAACACATTGATATGTTGTTGAAAACATGCTTCCCCTGTCCACTGTGGAGTCATTTAGAGTTATCCTTGATAAAATACCAATACAAGGAGGAGGAAAGGGGGGTGCCCCATGTCGTAACACTTTTGCTAAATTCATAGACAGTGAATACCAAAAAAAAAAAAATATTGATCTCAAAAAGTCATTTGAGGAATTAGAGCACATTTCATATCACAGATTCAAGAGAACAATTTATTTTCCTTTGGACACCCCCTCTTCAGCAGAAAACCAGGAGGCAGACTATATTAGATCTTCAGCACTAAACTTGAACTCTCTGTGTGGATTTTCTCTCATCAAGAAAATGTCACCACGTTACAATGCTGCTACTCCATCTAGTGCTCATGTTGAGAGACTGTTCAGCATGGGCAAGCTTGTCTTCTCTCCGAAGAGGAACAGACTGGCAGACAAAAGAATTGAAAAGCTTCTTGAGGAGTATTTTAGTATAGATGAATGTATTGTTCATTTTCACTGAGAACAAAAACATGTTCATAGTGCTCTGTTTATTGTGCAATAGAGATTTGCACTACTTAAGGGCCAAATCTTCCTTTGTTTCTTGTTACCCACGTTTTCATTTTTTCCGTCTTAATTTTGGACTTGCAAAGTGTGTGAATAACTGAATATTATTTATTTTATATTTGTATTACTTTACTGAATATTTATGACTTGGATAGTGCTCTGTTTATTGTGCAGTATTATTAACTAGAAAAAAAAGTTTGATGACACAAACTTTAAGTTGGCTTGAGAAAGCCAGACCAGAGCGTTTGAATAATCTTGAAGTTTGAATGAAGTTTTAAAGATGGAATTAGAAAGAAAGAAAGAAAGAAAGAAAGAAAGATGGATAGATTAGTTAGAAAGATAGATTAGTAAGAAAGAAAGATAGATAGATAGATAGATGTTTTTGGCAAGAAGCTAACATGATTAGCATGTAGCTAGCTTGATGCTAATATGATTAGCATGTAGTTAAGATGATTAACATGTTGTTAGCAAGATTAGCATGTTGTTAGAATCATAATAGCATGATTAGCACGTTGCTAGCATGTTTTTAACAAGAAGCTAGCATGACTAGCATGTAGCTAGCTTAATGCTAGCCATGATTAGCATGTTACTAGCATCATGCTAAAATGTTTTAGCAAGAAGCTAACATGATTAGCATGTAGCTAACATCATAATAGCATGATTAGCATGTTGCTAGCATCATGCTAACATGTTTTTAACAAGAAGCTAGCATGACTAGCATGTAGCTAGCATCATACTAGCATGATTAGCATGTTGCTAGCATCATGCTAGCATGTTTTTAGCAAGAAGCTAGCATGACTAGCATGTAGCTAGCATCATAATAGCATGATTAGCATGTTCCTAGCATCATGCTAGCATGTTTTTAGCAAGAAGCTAGCATGACTAGCATGTAGCTAGCATCATGCTAGCATGATTAACATGTTGCTAGCATCATGCTAGCATGTTTTAGCAAGAAGCTAGCATGATTAGCATGTAGCTAGCATCATAATAGCATGATTAGCATGTTGCTAGCATCATGCTAACATGTTTTTAGCAAGAAGCTAGCATGACTAGCATGTAGCTAACATCATGCTAGCATGATTAGCATGTTGCTAGCATCATGCTAGCATGTTTTTAGCAAGAAGCTAGCATGACTAGCATGTAGCTAACATCATGCTAGCATGATTAGCATGTTGCTAGCATCATGCTAGCATGTTTTTAGCAAGAAGATAGCATGATTAGCATGTAGCTAGCATCATGCTAGCATGATTAGCATGTTGCTAGCATCATGCTAGCATGTTTTTAGCAAGAAGCTAGCATGATTAGCATGTTGCTAGCATCATGCTAGCATGTTTTTAGCAAGAAGCTAACATGATTAACATGTAGCTAGCATCATGCTAGCATGATTAGCATGTTGTTAGCAAGAAGCTAACATGATTAGCATGTAGCTATCATCATGTTAGCATGATTAGCATGTTGCTAGCATCATGCTAGCATGTTTTTAGCAAGACGCTAGCATGATTAGCATGTAGCTAGCATCATGCTAGCATGATTAGCATGTAGCTAGCATCATGCTAGCATGTTTTTAGCAAGAAGCTAGCATGATTAGCATGTAGCTAGCATCATGCTAGCATGATTAGCATGTTGCTAGCATCATGCTAGCATGTTTTTAGCAAGAAGCTAGCATGATTAGCATGTAGCTAGCATCATGCTAGCATGATTAGCATGTAGCTAGCATCATAATAACATGATTAGCATGTAGCTAGCATCATGCTAGCATGTTTTTAGCAAGAAGCTAGCATGATTAGCATGTAGCTAGCATCATGCTAGCATGATTAGCATGTTGCTAGCATCATGCTAGCATGTTTTTAGCAAGAAGCTAGCATGATTAGCATGTAG